CATAATAAAAAGAAATAACAGCTTTCAACTTATCAAAAACCGAATTATCTCTTTAATAGGTTGAAATTTGTTATTTTTTATTAATATTCATTTATTCTGTCCTAAAGACAAATTTTTGTCATTATATATAATTTTTGTTTTTAACAAATTATTATATACTAATTTATTTTTAATTATATACTAATTTTTAGTTATACGTATATATTTAGCAAGCATAAATATCTAAAATATATTATTGACGTAAATATCTAAAAAATATTTTTAATTTTTTTTGTAATAGCTTAAACATTTTTTTCGAAACTTTTATATTGTTTAAGTATGTAAATGTTACGTAAAAATGATATAATGTTTGTTAAAAAAGATTTCGTAATCGATTGACGAATTTAATTTAGCATTACAATATAATTACCATTGACATATCCAAATATTAATTAATTCATGTTTCAGGTATATCGACGCTTAGTGACAGCGGTGAACGAGATCGAGAAGCGGCTGCCATTCTCGCACAACGATCGTTTCGGCTTCCTAACGTTCTGCCCGACGAATCTGGGTACGACGGTGCGTGCCTCGGTGCACATCAAAGTGCCGAAACTCGCGGCAAACATGGCCAAGCTCGAGGAGATCGCAGCCAAGTACAATCTACAGGTGCGCGGTACCCGTGGCGAGCACACCGAGGCCGAAGGCGGCATCTACGACATCTCCAATAAGCGCCGTCTCGGTTTGACCGAGTATCAGGCTGTGAAGGAGATGAACGATGGCATCGCTGAGCTCATCAAAATCGAAGCCAGCCTCTAAACCCAACTCCCACCCCCTCTCCTGATACACTTCGTATTCGTTTACTCTCCATCGTAGCCCCGTCGGACGCCACTGTATTTACGTGACGTTACGCTGGAAACTGTGTCTACGGCGTGAGGATTTTATTCTGAGAATAAATAAGAGCATGAAAAAATCGTTCAACGACGATCTAACGCCGGCGGCATCGAGCTTTTCAGCTGTTTTCGCGTTACCCGTCTTTATACATATATAAAGACGTATATATAAATATCGTAATTAGCGCTGTCTAGTACGATGTAAGCTATCCGTGTTCAAGCCATCTTCTTTTCATTACTATTTTTTTTTCTTAATTTTAATTAATAAAGAGAAATTTTGTTCGTATATGAAATAACCGTAATTATAAATTATATTACTTTGAATAGAATAGAAAATCTTAGAAGGAAGTTAATTGTATTTTGTGAAATTTTTTAATATACGATTTTTGTTTCCAATTTTTTTTTATTTATAGCGATTATTAATCGCTATACTTTATATTATGTCTGTACGATATCTTGTCATTAATCTAATCGAAAACATGAAATCATAAATTAAAGGAAACAAAATATGTGATAAAAAGATGGCTTTATTAGAGGTCAGCTCACATCGCACTCTGCACGTTGTATTCGACAGTATTTTATTTAGTTTCGTACACTTGTTCCTTTTTTTCTCGTTCTTAGTATGTAATTTGAAAGATCGGAAAATATTCTCGAAGCAACGCACTCGCGATTTCGTTTAAATTTCTTTTTCTTTTTCTTTTTTTTTTCTTTTTTTTTTCTTTTGATTGCAATCGCATTTGTTATCGATACATAGTCACGCGCGTTTACACAGTAGTGCTCTAGTACTAGTCCCCTGCAGTTCGTCGTGATTGTCTATTAAACGAGATAATAAGGGAAAAGAGAAGGAAGATGTCGTCGCTGTTTTAAAAGATATTCGTACGATGACGACGGTTTTTAAATTATCCGTGTTCTTGAGATTGCCACGGAGCATCAAGGGATCGCGGAGAGTGCTGTTCTCAGTACTTTGCGGTCTTTCTAGTCTGCGGATGGTGGAGAGCGACATTCATGTTTTTTCATTCTCTTTTTTACCACATGAGAAGCCAAGAAGGAACATCTGCGCGACGGATTTTAACACGCACTACAAAACACACGCGAGCAAGCGTTGCGGCATATTATAGAGACAGTGTATTACCAGCAGATTCGACAAGATGTACGGTGAGAATATAAATAATGAAACACGAAAATAAAAAGACATACACATTACATATTTCGTTGCGTGTTTTACTTTCCCAATTTTATTCGACTTTCTAATTCCTGATATTACTTTATTCTGAAATCCTGAGGATATCTCTATCGTAACTTTTCATATTGATTGTTACATATTTTTAAATTGTCAATTTAATTAAATATTTATTTTTATATTTTTTACCATCATGATAGATAATCCATTAAATAATTTGCCGTAATCTTCAATTTAGAACTCTACAATATTAAGAAATTATCATTGTTAAAAATATTAATAAGAGTGACATACTTCTAAGATCTTGGCGTTTTACATTAACCAGTTTTATTAATACTATATTATAAATAAAAAGAAACTTAATAAAAGGCATTTGTGTCAAAAAAATATTTTAAAAATAAATTAATAATAAACGGGAATTTTTTATTAATCTTATAAAATGTATAAAACAAGAGGAATGCCAAGTATAATGAGATTGCATCTTGATATCTAATAATACTTTTATATTATGTGAAGAATTGGAAAATTTAGTAATTCACACAAATAATTTTAGACTTCAAGATGCAACTTCGAATGTATTTTATAGGCTTCTATTTGTCTTATTCACGTATAAATGGTCAAGTTTAACTTATATATATTGTATATGAAGTATTTAAATATTTGTGTTATCTGACTTGGTTAATGTACATTTCTATTTTACAGTAAGAATTATATTTCAGTATTATATTTCAAATTGGAAAATACGTACAAACAAAAACATATAATAAACAAATTTAATTTTATTAAATAAACATTGTTTAATCTCTACAAATATACAAAGCTCCTATTACTCCTATTATGAGTAATAAAATACGTAGCGATATTCGTATACAGTTAAAAAATTATAATGATGAAAAAATTGTATATTATCGTATACAATTTAAAATTTTTTACGTTATTGATATATACGATAATTTTTACATCGCATATAAGACATTGATATAAAGATAAACTTTACAATTCACAAATTTTCAGAATCATTTATAGAGTTACATACATTTTATATGTATATCAGCAAATTAGAGGCCAATCTCAATGCTAAATCAAGTAATAACTTGTTTTCTTATATATATACACACATATATATATATATA